TTCTACCCAACTATGGTAATGTATTTTTGAGAACACGAAAGGATTTCCTTTGAGTAGTTAGATAAATTGTTTTCTTGTGTTAATTTTCACTGATAGCCATTATCCTTTAGGAATACATTCCTGAAAGCTGTAATAAAGAACCACAGTTTCCCTAATATGGAATGATGAGGACTGTCTCCAGGACTGTCTTGAAAGAACTGGTTAAGTGTGGTAGGGAACATGTAGGCGGACTACAGGTGAGCACTTTCTTTGGAGGTCCAGGCTAGGTATCTTGGAACCATCAAGATGGTAGAAAGGATAGGTCCTGGTGAAAAACTTTAAAATAAGCATCAACCTCTAATGGTATGCATTTCTAAATCATATTTATTAGATTTTGAACTAAGTTTTATATAATGTGCTGTATTTATTAGTAGGAGAGATAGATGTTCTAGAGATTCCCATGAACAGACAAACCTTGATGTTAAACATAGATACTGAGCTTTAGTCTTTAAGCACTTACCTTTAACACTTGCTTCTCTCTCTCTAGGAGGGGCTATCTGTAGGCAGCCTTTGTGATTGAGGATAGAGCAGCAGCAGGAAGCAAGAAATATTAGAAATCAAGAATCCTGAATTCCCAAATAAGGAAGGTTTCCTGTTCTTACATTTAAATATGGGTTTGTCTGAGCTGGGAATTTACAACGCTTCAGAACACTAGGGTATGTTTTACTGAAATCACTAGGAAGATTTTTTTTTTTTCTATCAAAATTGCCTCCTTAACTGATACAGAGCATTCATAGTAAAATGTAAATAAGCTCTGTTCTTAAGTATACATTACAATGTAAAGCAGTGATCAAATTCTATTATATTTACTAGCTATATCACAAAGTTGAATGATGATATTGGACTGCTTTGATTATGAAACTAATTAAATTAGGTACTTTAAAAATTATTAAAATGAAAGCCATATTGATTTAAAAGGTGAATAATTAATAAAGAGTATGTTTGTTGTATATAAGGAATCAAGATGGTGAATTATCAAGGGGTATTTATTTTTGTTGTTTATAAGTGAAACAAAATTTGGGATAATTTTCTCCAAAACTAAAATTATCTTAAGCAGAATGGGCAATTCTGTTAGTTAAAAATATTCTACATTAGTTTTAAATGTGAATTTTTAAAACCATGTAACTTAAAAATTAAATTAGTTTAGGATACAAACTCTGGAAACTAAGATTAAAATGCCTTTGAATTTTCTAAATGGGTATCTGCTGGATCTTTGGAAATGCCTTAAAATTAGGGCAGTGCAAATAATTAAAAAAATTTATTTGTAAAACTTTTCTATTATAGCTATTTGATCATCACATTATATATATGTAATTTTATGCTTTACTATCTAGTAATGATGGTGTCTTTGAACTTTGTGTTGAAGTAGCTTATATTTTTCTTAACAAAAAATTGAAGATCTTAATTTTTAAATATCTGTTTTAATTTATTGAAGTATGCTATGAAGATTTAACTCAAAATAACTGAATTTCCTTTTCCTCTTTCAAATGCTTTGCTAATAAGGTCAGAAATGGATATCATCATTTCTCAATAGCAATAGCAAACTTATTTTATCTACCCTAGGTAGCATATTTTCTAAGCTATTTATTTTTGTTAATTTGGAGACCATAACTTAGTTTTAAGAAAATTTTCTGATTGACTAAACCTGAACCAAAGAAAACCTATTAACTTATTTTCTAGTGTTAACTAGATTGTTTTTAGGAAATGTAAGTATATGCAGATTGTGATAATAGATAGCAATGTTTTTTCCAACTACTACTACTTTTTCTTCTTCTTTTTTTACATGATAGCAGTGGAACCTTTCAAATGAAATCCATAGATAAATCCATGGCAATTATGCATACAGAAAAAAATAAAATAAAAACAAAATCTTACTCAGAACCCCATTATTTAGAACAGTTCAAAATGGAATGGCTCAGATTAAAACTATCAGTTTGAACATTATAAAGGAAAAAGTGCCATTTAGTTGATGTCAGCAGAGGACATTTAATAAAGAAAATAGGATTGTATAAGTTCATAGTTTTTAAAAGATTCAGTGCATCTGATATAGAATACATTTTTTGAACACAGATAGTGGCTTTTTTGAATCTTTGTGTTACATATTGAAATAGCTATAATAAAATGATAAACTTTAATTTTTATGTCATGAACTTTGCAAATTCCATCAAAAGATTATTAAGGACTCATCTCTCACAAGTACATAGGTGAGCAAAGAAGGTTTACAGTTGTTCATATGGAAAAAGACATGCACGTATGATTATTACAATAGCTTTATTAACTCTGTTTAACATACAACTGTAAGCCTACTTTTCCCACTATGGTATGTATACATCATATTGTGGTTTATTAATGGACCAAGCTATTTTATTGTTAGTCCAATAAAGCTAGTTTTTAGGGACTTTATACAATACTTAATATATTCCAAACAATCAAGTTTATTAATTTCTTTTTACCCCATAAACACTTTAGGAGTAAGTTCTATTAATATTTCCATTTCACTAATAAGGCAACTGAGAAACAGAGAGACTATGTTGCTTATGCAAGGTTATACCCAAGGACAGGCTATGAAAATAGAATGTAAATCCAGAGCCTTTACACATTTTAATATTTTTTTATTAAACATTGAAAGGAACATATTCTCATTATTTTATCTTTTTAGGAATGTTTATCAAAATTTACCTTAAAAATAGAAATAAAAAATAAAAACTTTGGTAAAAAAGAAATACTTAAAAGTTTTTACTTATAATATTCTTTGACTAATATAACCTAGACTAAGAATTACATACAGTAAATGCGAATGTGGTAAATCATATATTCATGATGTTGAGTTCTTTGAACTAGAATTGGTACTTGTAGTGCATTATTAAAAATAATGTGGACAGCTGTTGCCATTTGTAGTAAAGCTTCTTAAGTTTAAGCTTTCTGTAGGGAAAGTAATAGCATCCTATACCAATAGTACTTAGAAGTAAGCTGAGCTGACTTCTAGCAGTCTGACCCAATTTAATATAGTAAAGTCACATTTCCTAATTCAGAATGTGGTAAAGCATTTTATCAAGGCCTACTTACTTAATTTTAACAGAGTAATAAACACAATTTATATTTTGGTTGCTCCCAAAGTGAGTCTCAGGCTTTGTGAAAATATTATATAATCAAGGGCTACACATAGTTTGGCCTATGTATACTTGCACAAGTGTATCTTGATGTGTGCCAAAATCCAGAGTGGTAAAAAATCATATTGGGGGATATCAGATAATTTATCAAAATAACATGGTCTTTTAGGCTATCTATGGTCTTTTATTATTTATTTATTTATTTATTTATTTATTTAAAATATATTTTATTGATTTTTTGCAGAGAGGAAGGGAAAGAGAGATAAAGAGCTAGAAACGTCGATGAGAGAGAAACATTGACCAGCTGCCTCCTGCATATCCCCCACTGGGGATGTGCTCGTAACCAATGTACATGCCCTTAACCGGAATCGAACCTGGGACCCTTCAGTCGGCTCTATCACTGAGCCAAGCCGGTTTCGGCTCTACGGTCTTTTAGACTATTACTATTAAATTGTTAAAATCCTGTTTTACTTTTTGAAATATTTTTTAAGTTATACACACACACACACACACACACACACACACACACACACGTATTTATTGATTTCAGAGAGGAAGAGAGAGAAATGAGAGAGAGATCAATAATGAGAGAATCATTGACTGGCTTCCTCCTGAATGTCCACTCCTGGAGGTCAAGCCCACAATCTCAGCATGTGCCCTTGACTGGAATCGAACCTGTGACTCTTCAGTCTGCAGGTCAACGCTCTATCCACTTAGCCAGACTGGCTAGGGCATTTTTTAGGTTATTAATAAATCATAGGCATTAATAATACCACCTTTTAGTATTTTCTTAACAGGCTACAGAGTCTTTACCCTTCTATTCTAGTAGACAACTCCATCTTAAATAGTTTAGATAATATAAATCCATTCCTATACAAATATTTAATATTATCAAAGAAACTCTTAATTATAGCTGATGCACATTAATTTTTAAAGTATAGGAAATATATTTACATCAAAACAAAGTTCACTTAGAATCACAGAGTCATTACAGGACATTTTTTCTTAATCTATAAAAATTGTCTGCAATTCCACTTGAAAAGAAAAGCAACCTAATAAAAAAGCTAAGCAAAAGGCGTGAATAGTTTTATCTTAAAAATATGAAAATATGCTCAACCTAACTCATAAAAAGGAAACATAAAGTTAAAAATATTGTGGCATACTATGCTGTTAAGAATGAGGCAGTTTTGAAATAGTAATATGAACTAAAGTATATAATTAAGAAAAATAAAATTCAATCAGCATGTGAATTAGACATATTTTATATTAAAAAGATACATATGTATGTATATGCATTGGTTTATCTCCAAAAGGGTATATAAGAAACTACTTCTGGAGAGGGCATCTAGGTGGCTGGGGGAGGAATAGAGGAATCCTTCATTTTCTTCATATCTTTAAAAAAAAGGTTTTATTGCTGGCTTAACTTCCTATTCAAAATAATTCATTTTTAGAGGCAATATTGTCATAGAATATTAAAATCTGTAAAGGACCTGTATCTGCCCTTCCTTTTACAGCTGATTTCGAGTTGCTCAAGAGCTTTTGATCATAGAGCTGTTGACTTCAGTAGTTCTTAACTGGACAAGCAGGTCTTCCTAGGTATACAGAGATCTTATTTCTCTTCATTGTATTCCACTTACCTAGCATACCGTAGATGCTCAATAAGTATTTGGATGAATTCAACAAATTTAAGTTATTTATTACTCTGGCATGGTACTGGCACAAAGTATTTTATCCTCACCTTTGAAAGAAGAAAAAATATTTTTCTGTTTCTTGTCCAAATGTGTTTGTTATATATTAATTTTTATTCTAAAGAAACATTTTTAAAGTTATAAATTGTTCATCATTTTTCAGACACAGGCTTCATGTCCCATTGACCGAAAACGTTTTCAAGCAGTGTTTAAAATCAGTGCATTGGAAGGTTGTGTTAAGGTAAGGTTTAGATTTTATTTTGCAACATGAACAGTATAAATACAAACTTAATTCAATTTTGTTTTAAAAGAGTTCCAATTTAAATAAATTTGTGACTTGTTCAACTTTAGCTTTAATATGTGATTAACATTCCCCCTTAGCATGACAAACCCAGACTTTTCTACAAGGATTCAGAAATTCTTTTTTTTTTCTTTGCCCACTAAAGAGGATATATTAATGGTAGTCACGTTATATTTTTCTACAAAATATATTAGATTTTTAAAAGAAGTTCACATTATGTCATATTTACAGAAAATTTAAATTTTAAAAATATTTTTAGTGTGAGGACATTTATTTCAAAAAACATTTACTGGTTAATTGGATAGAGAGAGAATCATCAATCAGCTGCCTCTTGCACACCCCCTACTGGGGATGTGCCTGAAACCAAGGTACATTCCCTTGACCAGAATCGAACCTGGGACCCTTGAGCCCGCAGGCCGACGTTCTATCCACTGAGCCAAACTGGTTTCGGCTATAGTGCTTAATCTTAATCACATCTCTGAGATGCACACACCATGCATACCTCATTGATATTAATTATTATAAACCATGATTATGACTTGTGTTCACAGTTTTGGCTTACAAATAAAAGAAATAGGAACATATTCCTGAGTTAATGAGTAAAAGGTGAAAAGAGAAATGGGCAGTAAGTAGTTGAATAAAAAATGTATAAGGAGATTTTTAAACTTATATATATATATTATAATTGGATGTTGCCTTTGTTCCAAGAATGTCTCTTATAGCAAAAGAAAGTCTTTATTCATGTGTTGTTTTATGTCTCATGTCTTTTAATCTGGAACATTTCTCAGCCTTTTTTTTTTAATGACTGTTTTTAAGAGAAAATTATTTTATTTATTTAATGTTATTGACTTTATTGGGGTGACATTGGTTAATAAGATTATATAGGTTTTAAGTGTGCAATTCTATAATACATCATCTGCATATTGTATTGTGTGTTCACCACTCAAAATCAAGTCTTCTTTTGTCATCATTTACACTCCCTTTATTCTCTTCTACCTTCCTCACTACCCTTCCCCTCTGGTAATCACCGTATTGTCGTCTCTGTCTATGATTTTTTTTTCCTTAATCCTTTCACCTATTTTACCCAATTCCCTTTTAAAAGTTTGTTCTCTATAAATGTGTTTCTATTTTGTTTATTTTGTCCACTTGATTCCACATATAAATGAAATCATAATGGTATTTGTCTTTAAGAAGGAGATTTCTTGAGGTATCTCTAACAAGTCACAAAGGATATACAGCTAAAAATGGGAGTATTCAATATATACATATATGATGCCATATATACTGTTTACATAGTAGATAGCAGATAGTAGATATATATTTGATTATCTCATTTACTTGCTTTAAAAACCTCACCTATTCTTTGATTCCTATAGAATTGTTTTATTATTCAAGGCCCTTTATAATATGGTCCTAATACTTTATATCACCTTCCCCATCTGCATTGGCTTCTGGGTTCTTTTCTTAATTTAGAGTAATCTTTTTCCTTAGACAAATTTTACTCATTCTCTAAGACCAATTCATAAACCATGTATTCATTAAAGTCTTTTCTAGAGTTAATTTTCTTTTTAAAAAAATATATTTTATTGGTTTTTTACAGAGAGGAAGAGAGAGAAAGAGGGACAGAGAACTAGAAACATCGATGAGAGAGAAACATCGACCAGCTGCCTCTTGCACACCCCCTACTGGAGATGTACCCGCAACCAATGTATATGCCCTTGATCGGAATCGAACCTGGGACCCTTCAGTCCGCAGACCGACGCTCTGTCCACTGAGCCAAACCGGTTTGGGCTAGAGTTAATTTTCAATCATTGTATATGCTGATCTGTGCTTATATCTCTGTGATGAGCACTTAATCTGTTCATATGCCTATCTCCCCTAATTTGTTTCCCCAGAGCTTAGCATGTATATTAAGTTTAATTTAGCCTGCTCGAATGAATAAACATATGTATTTGGGCTAGAGTTTCATTCAGACAATTTTAATTTTTCAAGGGAGAACTGATAGGTTATGTTTTGTGATACTAGATTATCACTCTAAATAAGCGATTTTGCTTTTCTCATAGGTTCAAGTAAAAAGACAGTTGAGAGACGCAAAAGACAACATAAACGAAAGCTCTTTTAAGAAACAGCTCTCCTGTCATGAAAATTCTAAAAGCTGTATGAGGTTAGTAATGAACTTTAGACGTGGAATCTAATGTGTAGAATCAGAAGGTAGCTAGTAATAAAATTGAATACATTTTTAAATGATGTGACATTTAAATATATTTAATTACTTCTTTTAAAGCATGTACTGGATAATTTAAGGAAGGACCAGCTGAAATCTGAGAATATAATATGAACTCTATCTTTTTTTAATTTATTTTTTTAAAATAGATTTCAGGGAGGAAGAAAGAGAAATAGAAACATCAATGATGAGAGAGAACCATTGATTGGCTGCTTCCTATAAGAGATCAAGCTTGCAACCCGGGCATGTGCCCTGACGAAGAATTGAATTGTGACCTCCTGGTTCATAGGTTGATGCTCAGCCAATGAGCCACACCAGCCAGATTCAGCTATATCTCTGAGGAATTGGATTTCTTAATTTGTTTTTTTTTCTAATCTGGATTTAGATTGATATTTTTATAAAATAAAAATGTTACAGTAGTATAAAATTTTCTGAATGCTTATCATATTTGTACATATCACAACCAATAATGGAAAAGTACTGGTGCACAGAACACATTTTGAACAGCACTGCTCTAGTGTTTAGGTATAAAGTAGAAAGAAACTTATGGTATAGCTCGCCATACTTCATGATACAGTTATAATTCAAACTACTTATTATTTTTCTCATTGTGCTGCTTTATATTTTTGCCACTTACTATATATATTTGTTTTTTTTTAAAAAAATTAACATGTTTGTATTTGTTTCTTTAATTGCTGTTGGTAAACATAATTGCCTAGAAATATAGTGCTTAGTATTCTAGTTTAATAGTTTTTTAAAATATTTTTTTCATCTAAATTGTGTTAGTAATATATTGGAAATTAACTTATTCTTAATACTTAAAATAACTTCTGGTACATTTAAAATTTAAGCTCATTTTGATCTGAAATATATTTTGAGCTATCTAAAAGTTAAATTCTTAAGTCAATGTACTGTAAGATTCATAATTAAATTTGTAATTCATTATCACATTTCATCAGAATGCTAATTTCTTAAGAGAGTACATTTATTTTGTTACCAAAATAATTGATAGTAGTCCCTGAGATTTATTAAACCATGCAACTAATTTACTATAGTTCTCTAGGTCTTAACTTTTGGGAAGTTACAGACTTCTTTGAGAATTTGAAGAAAACTGCAGACATCTTCTAGAAAAACATGTCATAGAACCTACTTAGAAAGTTTGTATATGATTTTAAGGGATTAATGAAACATCCACTGCAAGAACCTACCCATAAACCCACATTAGCTGCATTAGAGTAGCTTTAATTTACATTTTCTTTTAACTTTATCAGAGTCAGTTTTGATTTATGTACATATGTTTACATATTAGGTAGCAGCACACTTCTCCCAGGTATAATGAAGAAATACTTTTGCTACCTTCATTCATAATATAGCTCCTATCACTGGCTGTGACAATGTCATGGATATACATTTTTGTGCTTTCTCTGAATTACCCTAATTCTCTTGGCTGTTGCTGAGAGAGCAGTGGTCAGCACTATATGACCTATAACAGGGTCCTACAGTGGGGCTAATTTAGCTGAGGTAGTCCACATGCTTAACTGCTTTTTCTCATGGATATATGGTGGGGGGAGATGGTATATGGAAATAATATATAAAATAATAATTTGCTTTTGCCCATCAAGTCAGACCCTTAATGATTTATCCCAAAGTGGAAAATCTCTCAGCTATTGGATATTTACAGTATATTTTTTAGAGCCTTTTGGAAATTATTTAGCATTCCTCCCATTCAGTCTTATGTTTACTAACAATTCCTAGTCTCTTCACACTTCAGCAGTATCCAGTGTTGTTTCTCCTTTCTAAAGCAGTAAAACCCTGAAAGACACCCTTTCTTTCTGATTATTTCTGTCAATTCTAGAGGAAGGTATTGCAGTGATATTTTGTTTCTTGGTAGTAAACCTCCATTGTCAGTCACTGGGATGGGGAGGGGCAACTAGTTATACTTTCTTTGCTAGAATATAAAACTCTGTGCCTAATAAAATTCATTTTGGTGGGCAGGAAATTGAAAATAAATGAGCAAAATGACAGTTTTATCTTAATTATTTCACCTTTTTTAATGTTTACAGAAAAAACATAGGAGATCTATTAAGTGCAAAGCTTTATGACTTGAAGATACACAGTAAGTGGCTTTTTCTACCTTTTTTGTTTCTTACTTTAGTGCTTGTGCCAGAGTTGTTCTTAGTAACATTTTGGTTTGGAAAACAATCATCACAGAACTCTGCTGAGCTCTGTGCATTCTGTTAAATCCTATATAAACTGTTTTCATGGAGTTATTTATGCTGTTCCCTACCCACTTTGTGTGTTTTTTTAACGCTCATCTTGGAGGAAGGGATCAGGAGAAAGGGAGAGAGAAAAAGAAGAAGGATATTTTCAATTACTTGGTGGTTAGCAACCTACATTACAGTCTTACTCCACTTATCCTATATAATAAAAGCATAATATGCTAAGTGTCTAACCCTTCATTTGACTGTTCGTTCAGCCATTCCACCAGTTGCTATGACATGCACTGACCACCGAGGCAGACGCTACAACCAGTAGGTTAGCTTGCTGTGGTCTGGCGATCAGGACTGGATAAGACGGGCTGGATATGCCCTAGATCCCTCCCAAGGTCCTTCCCTGGCAGCCAGCCGCCATCACCCTGTCAAGATTGGGCAAGAGGGCCCCGATTGGCCCCAATCACCTGCCAGGCCGAGGGATCCCACCTGTGCACGAATTCGTGCACCAGGCCTCTAGTAAGAGCAGAAGAATTTAGGGGAGATGGGATAAAGTATGGTAAGCTGTAGCAAGGGAAGTTTGTGACAGTGAAGTTATTTCACAGTTCCCAGAAGAAGTGGTGGTTTGGTCTCCAGCCACACTTCTAATTTGAAACTTTGGAGATAAAGCACCTCTTACATATTTATCCATAAGAACAGTTAAATATCCCTATCTTTCAGTCTCACCTAGTACATAGTTCTCCAGTACAGGAAAGGTTTGGGGCAAGGTTTGAGAAAAATGACACCATAGTGTCTTGTAATTCCTCCTTGGAGCTCAGGCTGTATATTTTAAAGAGCAACTTACTTTTAACTGTTTGTAAGCAAGGAGGTGAACATTTAATTTCCAGGCTAGATTACAATTTTTCTTTATAGATATAAAGAATTAATTTATTATTCTTAAAAGTTATCAACTTCATTGTTTTACATTATGAATACAAAGTTTGGTGGTTGTTATTGTGTTTATGATTTGAATTAACATGGTCTCTCATGTCTATAGATCTCACATTTTTTAAGTTAATAAGTGTTCTGGCTTTAATAAGTTGTTATTAAAGTGAAATTGTATTGAAAGGATTTACTGATTAGATGAGCATTTTTCTTTTGTTAGCAAATCTTAGATATCAAACTTCTTTATTTTTCGGTATCATTGCCATAGGTAAACATCCTTTTTTAATGTTTGGACTTTGGTAACTCTAGGATCTGATATAAAATTTACTGTGAGAAAGATTAAATGATGTGATAGATTTTCTCTAGATAATTTGGCCTGCTCTTACTATGTTGACCTTAGTTTTAAGTCTACTATAATTTTCTTTTAAGTATATATCTCTTGCCTGGACTTAATTTTAGAGAGAGAAGACATAGGCAGATCTAACCTCAAGTGCTTCACTATAGTGAAGACCATTTATAAGACTCTTATGACTTATTTGGATTTGAGAATTTGTTTTACTAATCAGAATATGAAATATTTAGAGAGTTTTTAGTGAATATTCCAAGCTAATTTAATACTGAATAGCTCATTTTAAATTATAGTTCTTAAAAAAAAAGTTTATGCTGGAAAGTTAACATTGTCCAAGGCCTGTAACCTAATGTTGTATCTGCTTAAGTGAATATGTCTGAAGTCATTGTGTGATTTAGAATAGGTAGAAATACTCATTTTACTTTTATATGTAATGATCAAGGTAATTATGTGGAAGTGTTTTAATTGAACGAATTTGGATTCATTTGTGGAGTACTGGGTACTGATTATCCATTTCATTTTTCTGTGATGTCACCTTTTTCTTGGAAAGTTTAATACATCAACTTTGCCAATTTCCCTCCACCCCTGCATTGAAATACATTATTTACTTAATGAAATAGTTTGTATTTCATTAAGTATATAATGTTTAATGAAATTACTCAGATTTAAATAAATTTAACAACTAATGGGTCTATTTTGGAGGATGCTAAGAAGTTAACTCTGTTAAACTGGTACATTTATAACAGAAAAGATTCAGACATCTATCTTGCCTTTCCTAAGTAAACTACACATCAGAATAATTGAACAGGTAGTAAAGGAAAGTTAAATATTTTTAGAAGTATTTCAACAAATGAAGATAAAAGTATAGAATTTGAATATTAGCATTTTGTACATTAATGCATCTAGGAAGTGATCAGCAATGGCTTTTGGCATCACAAAAGGAGAGACACAATACTCCCTACCCCAGCCATTTGGCTGAGTGGATAGAGCATCAGTCTTAGACTGAAGGGTCCTGGGTTCGATTCCAATTAAGGGCATGTATCTCAGTTGCAGGCTTGATCCCCAGCCCGGGAGAGGGCATGTATGGGAGGCAACCAATCTATGTGTCTCACATAGATTTTTCTCTTTCTCTCTGTCTCTCCCCCTCCCTTTCACTCTCTAAAAATAATTAATGGAAAAATATTCTCGGTGAGGAGTAACAAAAATTTATTTTTTAAATATTTCTTTATGGAAGTAAATAACAGCAAATATGCAATAGTGTGACCAAAAAAACCCCTGAAAGCCAAAACAAACCTGTATCTTATTAAGAAATCCAACTACTAATTCACAAGACGTACAGAGTTGAGATGTATGTTAAGTGACAAGGGGATGCAATCAGCAAAATTTAGACCACAGACAAATGACCTGGTTTCTTTAGTCAAAAAATTCCAAGGAGTTTAATAAAATATGGAGCAGAACCTGTAGATTAAGAGACAAACATTCAGCCAGAGTGTGTGGATCTTATTTGGATTTGTATCCTAATATGTTATAAAAAGTAAAACTTTATGGACAATTGGAGAAAATCGAACATTGGTTATTTGATAATTATGGAATAATTAAGGAATTATTAAAGTTAGAAGTTGTTTTTACTTGCATTAATGGTATTAAGGATTTTCTCCCTCAAAGAGCACTTATCTTTTAGACTTGTACACTGAAACATTTATACATTAAGTTATTTGATGTCCAGAATTTGTTTCAAATTATTGCCTTGTTCTTTTGGCTTTGTTTGGATGTACTTTTGAGTTCAAAAATAATTTCTAATATAAAATTATCACTTTGATAGCATAGTGTCTGCTCCCTATTTTATAGACCAACTAACCTTGATTATTTTGGCTTATCTTTCAGAAATGTGATCAATCTTTTTTTTTTTTTTTTTTTTTTAGGCTAACGTTTATAAAGTTCATAAGCCATAAAATTTTAATCTTTAATTTTTACATTTCTTACAAGATTTCTTATATATTATTAACAAATGACCTTATTAGAAGACTAAGAGAACCTGTAAATGTTACTTATAATGGTCTCAAAGTTTAGGGCAAATGAACTAATAAGCAAGAAATACAAGACAAAATTAAGGTAAAGATAAAGTTAGTAGGAAGATCATCTTTATTCAAGTTACACTGAATAGGAATCATGGTGTATTAACCATAATTTAAATTTCTTTTTATAAAAGAATATCTTGAGAAAATCTCTCTTTATCTAGGATCACTTGGCTAGATTTTAGAAAAACTCAGTTTTAGCTTTTTAAAAAAATATCTATTGATTTCAGAGGAAGGAAAAAGGAGAGAGAGAAACATCAATGATTAGAAAGGATCATTGATCAACTGCTTCCTGCACACCCCTTATTGGGAATCGATCCTGTAACCTGGACATGTGCCCTTGACCAGAATCGAATCTGGTCTACAGGCCGACACTCTATCCACTGAGTCAAACCCACTAGACTAATTTTACCTTTTCTAAGTTCTTAAATATTTTTTTGAAGTAGGAAGGGGCTGCCTTTGAACATTTGTGTGACTTTCTTTTCTACCTGAAGTTATTTACCCTGTTTCCCCGAAAATAAGACAGTGTCTTATATTAATTTTTGCTCCCAAAGATGCACTAGGTCTTATTTTCAGGGGATGTCTTATTTTTCCATGAAGAAGAATACGGTACACATTTATTGTTAAATGAAAATAAAGGAAATTTATTACCTGTATACGGTATGGTAGTACGGTAGTTGTCAACACAAACCAGACAAACTGTGACTCCTACAGTATCAAGAATTTACTCATTTATTCAATGACAATCATGTCATAATCTTCTGCAACATCATAACAATCCAATTTCTGAATTTCCTGGTGAATTTCTTGTGACTCGATTTCTTTTAGAATCAGTGGACCAAATCTCTCATGTTTAGCAATAGCATTCTGGACAGAGCCTAGGAGGGCCTTATTTTCGGGGGGATGCCTTATATTTCACTCAGAAGGAAACTTGTAAGTAGGTCTTATTTTCGGAAGATGTCTTATTTTCGGGGAAACATGGTATGTTACACACAAACTAATGAATAAAACATGATATTATGAACTTCTTTTATCTGGATTAGAAATTATTAGTAGAACATTAGTTAAAACTTAGCAGGCCTACTTGACAATCTTATTGGAAGTTGGTCTTTTAGTTTTGTATTAGTTTTCCCATTAAATTTATGAGTCTAAGAAAGCTATATAAATTGTTTAGTTTTTCCATTTAATGAAAATGGTGTTGCTTTACTAGAAAAGATTAGCATACCTTTTGGCAAATTTGTTAAGGAAATGTCACTTTAATTCTTCAGTTAAACTAGATAACTGAATTATCATACTACTTCTTAAGATTTTAACCTCCCTTTTTGTACTTTGTTCTTTAGGCTAAGAGTTTATAATTGGTGTAATGTGTAAAAGTATCTCCTTTTCATGCATTTGTTAATAGAGTACTTTTTTAAGTGCATGCTAAATCCATTTAATTATACCTTTATTAACTTTTTAATAAATTAATCAAATCTAAATGGATGACTGCCAATGACAGGGCTCTATGCTATATAGGATTATATTATAGGAAAAGATGTTTTCATGAAAATACCTTTTG